TCAGTGCCCGTCACCCATTTTCCCTCTCCCCCACCCCACCCCCGTCCACCCTCAGTTTGTTCTCTGTGTTTAAGAGTCTTTTAATGGTTTGCCTCCTTCCCTCTCTGTTTGTAACTATTTTTTCGCCTTCCGTTCCACATGGTCTTCTGTTAACTTTCTCAAGTGTATAGTTTAAAAGTAACAATGTGGATGTTTAAGAAATACTTGGAAAGATATTTTATTGCAGTAGTGTTTTTAGTAGCCAGTGCAGGGGGGAAAAGACCTGAATATTCATCTAGTGGGGAGTGGTTGAATAAATGTCTTACTCTAGAATACTGTACAGCTGTGAACGTAAGTTTGGTGTATTTTATCTAGGAAAAATATGCTTGATATATTCAATGACAGAAGTAAGTTACAGACCAACAGTTAGAGCTTGCGGTATGTGCGTGCGTGCTCAAGTTCTGTCTCTAGTTAGTTAACCATTGCGGTATTTGGGGTAAGAAATAATAGTTTCTTGGACCCAGATGGGTTGCAGAGATGAGAAATTAAATGATTTTTTTCAAGGGATTTGGGAGGACAATTCCAAAGGATTGGGCGGTGGGGAGGTGAGGCAGAAGGAGGAGCTGGGTCTGTCTCCAGGTTTCAGGGTTTTGGTTCTAGACTGATGGTAGGACAGTTACTAGAAATTGAGCATTTTAAGAGCATTAAATTAGGAGAGGAAGATCATCTGTTCATTTTAAGTATTTTGAGTTTGAGGGAGTTTGCTATATTTTAGTGGAAATAGGTAGTAAGCAGATGTAATGGAGCTGGTGCTCGTTGGAGAAGTCTTGATGAGAAATATAAATTTGGGAGTCAGTGGCTGTGTAGCTGATAATTGAAAGCAAGCACATGTGAAATTGCTCAGGGAGACAATTTAGGATAGGAGGAGAGGGGGACCTGGAATCAAGCCTGGAGGAACACAGTATTAAAAGGTCCAGTATGAGGAGTCTGAATCACTGAAGGAGGCCGGGAGATTGCGAGGTGACACAAGGGAAGAAAGTATTTTAAGGAGGAACTGGTCAATAATGACTAAAAAATGATCTGTGCTGAAGTGTACAGCTAATTGTTATCAAGATCCATTTCAGTGCAACGATGGGGGCAGAAGCCATGTTGAAATAGTCTGAGGAGTGAGTGGGAGGAGAGGAAATGGATACAGTAAATTAGGCAGTTTTGTAAACATTGAAAAGGTACTTGTGTTCTTACGTTAGTAGCAGAAAAAGGTAGAAGAAAAATCTAACCCCTTAACAATTGTGTGTCCTTAACAGAAAAAAGGATGGAAACGTATCCAGGTATTTGGTGCAGAATACAGGAACTGTGTATGAGTTTTAGAAATTTTTATCTTCCTGGTTTTTAAAGTAAGCAAATAGAGTAATAACAAAATATTTATTTATCAGCCAGAGTCCAAATAAGAGACAGAAAGAACGCCAGTTACTTGAACAGAGAGAATTTAATATCCAGAATTGTTAACTAGGCATAAATACCTAGGGAAGTGCTAGATGAAGAATACTGTGCTGAAGAATCGTGGAGGTGGCTCCTACGGGAGGGCGACCAGGGCTGAGGGCATATGGGGAAGAGCTTTTCGTTACTAAATCTTAGAAGCCGTAAGAGGATGGGCTACGCAGGGCTGAAATGCAGACCTCGGATCGAAGTGTGCTGCCAGGCTGGTGCTCCCACTGCGGTGTCCTGTGAGCACCAGGGTGAGCACGCCGGTTCTGCAGGCCAGAAGGTAGTGGGCTCCGCTGCTGCTGCGAAGGGCAGGAAGGCAGAACAGCATAGCGCCCCAGGGTCCCTGCACACCCTGGCCAAGAATACCACGGATGCAAGGCCTTGCCCACTCTTTACCCGAGTCATTAGGGCCATGCTTGCAGGGAGGAATCAATCTCACCAGTAGGCTTGCTTTCACTTACTGTAAAAGTGGTTCTCCGGGCTGTGTGTTCTTCCCCTGCAGCACAGTCCACGGTGTGTGCAGGAGTCCATCGGGGACCCTGTGGATCATACCTGTGAGATTTAGGTGGGGGTGAGTGTGGCCCAGGTACAGCCAGTGTGATTAACTCAGATCTGTGGCTGATACTAGGCTGTGAATAGTATAGTTCTCTGCCTCTGACCCAGTAGTCAGAGATACTCACTTCTCTGTGGATATTCATGAAAATGTGGTAGGCTGACTTGTAAGTTTGTAAATAGCTTAAGTCCTGGGTTTCATCATGAGTTTGGAAATACTGTTGGTAGGCTCTTTTTGAGCAAGAGGTGGGTGGTTATGTTTCTACCTCAACCTGCAATTTCGTTGTAACCTTTACTTGGTCCTAAGGAACACTCATCTAGCCTTTAAGGATGTTTCTGTTCATGGTGATGATGAAAATTCATCCAGCATGCAATATAATGAGTCAAAGAGAGAAACTAAGAAAAAGAGAGAAATTAAGAAAGGGAGAAATTAAGAAAACGAGAGATTAAGAGAGACACAGAGTGAGAGTTTTCAAAGAATGTTTAGTAGGAATTTTAGATGAGTTTAATGGGATAAATGATAGAAAGTCAATATTTGAAAGGATACCAAGAATGAGGAGGAAATATGGAAAGCTTCCAAAGAGGAAGGGCTGATTTTCAGGTGGATGACAGCTGGCAGCAGGGTGCTTGGGAGCAGCACGCTGGGGTGGTGTCTTCAGATGCTAGGATAGATTTTACATCAGCCCATTCATATCATCCAACAGGGAGGATGTAAGACACAAGACAAAGACATATGCAATGAATTAGTAAAATATTTGGAGGAATTTAATTATTGGCCGCAAAAGGTAAGATTAAATAATGCAAGGTGTAGGCATGGCTTTTGTCTTCATCTGTGTCTATATCGCAATGTCAGTATCCAGATACCTCTGGGAGCCACACTGCCTGGGCTTAAATTTGGGCTTACCATTTACTAGTTGTACGAAATTTAAGTTATTTGTTTTAAAGCTCAGTTTCCCAATCTGTAAAATGGGAGTAACAGTATTTATCTCACTGAGGTGTTGTGAGAATTGATTGGGTTTAATATGTGTCATTTTCTTATTCGGTCATTATTTCAACATTTCTGTAGAATATCTTAAGTTCTTAAAACCTTTGCATGTTAGCATCTGATATTTCGGAGATTTGGCTTGGTAGGGAAGAGAAAGAAGATAGTTGTTTATGATAAATGTGCTTTTCGGCTTCCTAAACTGATTCATTCAACACTTATTGAGTGCCTGGTATAGCCTGGGCACTCTTTTAAGTTCTGAGAATAAAACAGTGAATAAAACCATTTCTGCCCATCTGTGGCTTACATTCTACTTGCGGGGGTAACAAGAATGAACAGAGTAGGTATGAGAGCGCATGTGTGTGTTTGCACACATATATGCACACATACGTGCACTGTTAACTCGTAAGCACTAAGGAGAAAAATAGAGCATGGAAGAGGGAAAAGGGATTTTCATTTCAAATTGGATGGTCAGGGAGTGTGTGCAGGGGTAACCTTTGTATAGAGACCTGAAGGAGAGGAGAGAGAGAGCCATGAGAATATCCTTTTATAAGAGTGTTTAGTTGAAAGGAGTAGCAGAGGAAGAGACACCGAAGCCAAAGCATAACTGGTGTTCTCAGAACAACAAAAAAGGTTTGTAGGGCTGAAGTGGATTTCTGGAAGAGAAGGGAGGGAGACAGTGCGGCACAGCAGTCACAGAGATTCATTGCTTATAAAGATTTATAGCCTCTTAAAGGACTTTTACCCTGAATGAGCTAGGGCGTCATTTGGGCATCCTAAACTCTCCACTTCTATATTTTCACTCTGCTAGGTTGAAAACAGGCTGTAAGAGTATTCTGTTACTAATTTAATTCAGTAAAGAAAACAATTAAAAGTACCCATGTGTTCTATTATCACGTCCCTTCTCGAGAATCTACAGTGGTTCTGTGTTATCAGTTGTGTTACTTTAAGTGCCGTTGCTTCTATTTTAAGGTTCTTTGTAATCTTGCCACATTCTATCTGTTTAACCCCCTTTCTTCCAGTTCTCCCACACCAGGAATAATTCTTCTGGTCCTGAGTCTTTGTAGGAAGTTTTAGCATTGTCCCATTGCCCCCCATTTGTTCTGGTGAAAATAACTGGGGGATTTCACGTAACGGACATTGAACACATAGAAGTTTTTCTGTAAATAAATGAAATGTTGTAGAAGTCTTAATTTAATGTTGAACCTCTTAAACATGTGGAATAATTGATATGCACTCATCATCTTATCCATCAAGATTCATAGTAGCAGAAAACAGAATCTGCTTTACCTAGTGATTTATTACAGGTGCTGACTAGTTAACAAAATCTTTGGCCATGACATCAGGTATTTTTGTTATAATATACCTTGGAACCATGCAGCAGGGAGAAATGCCCAAACATACTCTGTATCTATCTGAGCACCAACTCCGTTGTCTTGAGCACTCGCAGGGCCTTTCTGAAGACATGGTACAGTCATTGAGACCTGTGTTAGAGCTCCCCCGAAGAATCGGATACTTTCACCACTGGGCTTGCAAGGCACTGCCTCCGATTGCTCACTTCTTCCTTCCAAATACTGCACATTTAAGTATGCCTGGCAATGTGGATGCCATTTGTTGACCCTGAGGTGGAGTGGACTGGGAAATTATGTAGTTTTCCATCCTTTGCAGTATTTGAAGGTGTGCTTGAAAGGAGAATTGAATGAGACTTGAGTATCTATCACATTCAGAATGAAAGAAATGAAACAAAAAATGACGACAGAGTCTCCTTTTTCAACGACGTAGCTCCCTTGGCTGACAGTGGGGCCGTGTCCTGACAAACCCATCATTTTCTCCAGCTGCTGTTATGTCTGTGGTCCCAGAGAGATGCCTTTTTCTTTCCTTGTACTTCTTCCGTGTAGTATGTGACCCATGGGATACCAGCAGATGACATTGGCTTTAATTTATCAATGGACGACTATAATTTTTTTTTATAAAAAGTGTTTTTATGTTGTTTTGATCTCAGATATTCAAGATTAAAGCAGTTCAACTGGCTGAGAAACTCCTTCCTGCCTTTAACACACCTACTGGGATTCCTTGGGCAATGGTGAATCTGAAAAGGTAAATTTTATTTTATCTTACCTTTATTTATTATTTATTTATTTATTATCTGAGAGAGAGACAGAGGGAGAGAGGGAGGGAGTCAGCATGAGCAGGGGAGGCTCAGAGAGAGAGGGAGATACAGAGTCCAGAACAGGCTCCAGGCTTTGAGCTATCTGTCAGCACAGAGCCCGACGCAGGGCTCGAACCCATGAACTACGAGATCATGACCTGAGCCAAATTCAAATGCTTAACTGACTGAGCTACCCAGGCCCCCCCTATCTTATTTTATTTTTAAAAAAATTTTTAGTATTTATCTTGAGAGAGACCATATGAGTGAGGGAGGGACAGAAAGAGGGAGACAAAGAATCTGAAGCAGACTCTAGGCTCTGAGCTGGCAGTCAGCACAGAGCCTGATGTGGGGGCTCGAACTCACAAACTGGTGAGATCATGACCTGAACCGAAGCCAGCCGCTTAACCAACTGAGCCACCCAGGCGCCCCGGTAAATTTCATTTAAATTTCCTGTTCTGAAAGAATTAGATTAACTTAGTGTTAGAAATTACTAATGATCAGCCCTCACCATACTTTGTAAGACTTGAATTATTTTTTTCTACATATATGCAGAAATATATTTCTTTAAAACAGTCTTTGTTTTTTTTTTTTTTTAATAAGTTCTTCACTTTGCAACAGTTCACCCTGTCTTAACTGTGTTCTGGTTTCTACTGCTTATTTTTCTAAGTCTAGATTTCTCTTCCTCACCTGTATGTTTCTTTTATTTGCTTATTTATTTCCATTTCATGTTGTAATAGATTCAACATGCTTTCCCTCTCTGATTTTTTGTGTTCCACCTGTTGATCTTCTAGGTCATAATGGGACACAATGGTGCCTTAAAACCAGGGCTTCCTATTGTTGAACGATAAGGGAGAATGTAATTCATAATGTTGACTCTAGGATTCTTGCTATGGTATTTGTACTGTTGAAGTTCAAACTGAGCTCTTCAACATTCTCTGCACTCTGTTCCATACTGATAGAACACACTGGTTTCACTTAGAAATAGATGAAAGAAGTTTTTTTGATAACTTTATAAATCATGCAAAGATATATAATTAAAATTTAAAAAATTGAATGTCAGTATATTTAATTTGCATTCAAATAATTTATGCTGACTGAAATTTTTGCTGCATACGCTTTTCGCCAAATGAAATCTATTATTCCTCTTAATGTTGAAGCTTGGAAATTATGTGAAAATTTGACTCTTGTTCTCCTTGTCCCCAGGCCCTTTAGAATAAAGGTTAGGAACATTTATTTTTCTGGAATCATGATTCTGTAACAACTTTATTTGAAAAAATAATTTATTGAGTTTAGATTTCCATTGAGAAATTAGCATTTAATGCTGAACATTAAATTTAACTTTACTATTCTCTGATTTCATGCTCTGTATGTAATATAAATTACCTCCTTGTGAGACGGATAATTTGGCTGGAGTTCCACAGTGACCTACATGAAAGGAAATGGCCAAACGATGTATACACATCTGTTCTCATTCCTTGTTTTTAGGACAGATTTTCGGATGCTTCCTTCAGTACCATCGTCAGAATCCTATAACTTTCCTAAATAATAAGAAGTATTATTTATTAATTTAAAATTTAATTATGAGATGAAGAAAAAAGAGAAGAAGGCTGAAGGACTTTTTTGGGGGGGTTGTCCCTATGGAAGAAAAAAAATCCAGCTTACATCACAAAACTTCAATCTCAGATTGAGATGAAAGTGGAAAGGCATTCAACAATCATGTCTTGAACGTTTTATAAGTTTAATTTTCATTTGGGTTCTTTGTGTATATTCATGCAAATACATATTTTATTTGAGCTTATAGATCACAAATAATTATTCACCAGTTTTTTAAAGGTCTTTCTCTTTCTCTTTTTCTTTTTCTTTTGGTTGAGGTCTGCACATGTCCCACACATAGGCTTCCCTCCTCTCTTGCTGTCCGAAAAACCAACCTGTGTTAACCCAGCACGTTTACCTTCTACAATATGGTGCCGTGTTACAGAAACACAAACATGAGCGGGTGCAAGTTCTAAGATTCTGTGTGGGATTTTTGGATGCTTGCTATTGTGCCTCTTATTTTTCTCACTCAACAGTATCTCAAGGAAATACTCTTCCAGATCATGTGGGAAAACTGTAAGTCAGTTTTCCTGATGACTCCTGAGGGGAACAATACAATAATACATTGGTTACAATGCTATATGTATATAGCTATAAATCATAATTTATTCCATCATTTCCTTATCAGTGGTATTTGTTTCCATTATTTTGCTACCATAAACATTTTTAACAACAGTATCCTATGACATATGTCCTTGTGTAGTGGGGAACTTTTCTCTGAAAATGATTCTCAAGAATAGGATTGCTGGATCAGAGGCTGTCTTTTTTTTTTTTTTTTTTTTTTTTTAAGTTTATTCATTTACTTTTGAGAGAGAAAGAGACCACGAACAGGGTGGAGACAGAGGGAGAGAAGGAGACAGAAGACAGAATCCCAAGCATGCTCCGCCCTGCTAGTGAAGCTGAGCGTGGAGCTCGAACTCACGACCCCAAGACCATGACCAGGGCCAAAATCAACAGTCAGACACTTAACTGACCGAGCCACTCAGGCACCCCATGACTGTATGTCTTTTTTATTTTTGTGGGACACATTCTCAAATGTAGGATTGCTGGATCAAAGGGCATATGCATTTTACATCTAATAGTCCCAAAATGCTTTCTTTCTTTCTTTTTTTTTTTTTTTAATGTTTTTTATTTATTTCTGACAGAGAGAGGCAGCATGAGTAGGGGAGGGTCAGAGAGACAGGGAGACACAGAATCTGAAACAGGCTCCAGGCTCTGAGCTGTCAGCACAGAGTCTGACGCGGGGCTCAAACCCACGAACCATGAGATCATGACCTGAGCCGAAGTCGGATGCTTAACCGACTGAGCCACCCAGGCGCTCCCCAAAATGTTTTCCAAAAAGACTATAGTTTTATCATATTTCTACCTATAGTGTATGAGAGTACCTACATGTCTGCAGAAGTAAGTTCTGCTTAATGTTTGATAGACTGATGGCTCTAAAGTGTTACTCCTTGTTATTTTCTTTTATTTAAAAATTTTTAAAAATGTTTTATTTATTTCTGAGAGAGAGAGAGAGAGAGAGAGAGACAGTTTGAGCAGGGGAGGGTCAGAGAGAGAGGGAGACACAGAATCCGAAACATGCTCCAGGCTCTGAGCTGTCAGCACAGAGCCTGACGTGGGGCTCAAACCCATAAGCCTTGAGATTATGACCTGAGCCGAAGTCAGACACTTAACTGACTGAGCCACCCAGGCCCCCCAGCAGTTTCTGTTAAAAAAATGGTCTCCTATATTTTTTATGTCTTCTAGATTTCTATTAAAGGTTTTTATAATATTGCTTTTAAAAAAAAAATGAAGTACATTGTTTTTATCATGAGTAGATGATGAATGTTGCCAAATAGCTCTTTTCTTCATCTGTGATAATCATAACATTTTCACCTTTATTCTATTAATGTGGTAAATTACTTGTTAGATTTTCAAAGGTTCAACCAACTTTGAATTCCTGGTATAATCCTTGGCCATAATATATTATCCTCTTTATGTATAAGAGTTATCTGGCTTCTTAAAATGAAATAGGAAGTCGTCTCTCTTCCTCTCTTTTCTGATAGCACTGGTGTTAACTTCTTCCTTAAATGTTTGGTAGATGCATCTACACAACCACCTGGGCTGGAAATTTTCTCGTGGGAAGGTTTTAATAACAAATTGAACTATATGTATGTATGTGTATATATGTATTTCATACATATATATTCAACGTATCATATATATGATGTAAATGTATATATGGCTGTTTAGATTTTGTTTTCATTTTGTGTCAGTTTAATAGTATATGTAAGGAATTTACCCATTTCATGGAAGTTATGAAAGATTTTGGTGTACAGTTATATGTGTTACTTTCTTATGCTTTCATGTTTCTAAGTTTTATAGTGATAACCCCTCTTTGATTCTTGATATTGGTGATTTGTTTTTTTATCAACCCTGATAGGCATTTATCAGTTTATTCATCTTTTTAAGGAACTAACTTTTGTCTTTAACTGCATGTAGTAACATTAATTCTGTGATTCATGTTTTCTGTCTCCTTGATTTCAGTTTTTTTTTCCTTTTCCATACTTAGCACTTTCTAAAGCTTTTACATTGGAACTCTAGGTCTTTGATTTTTACCTTTATTTTTTTCTCTAATCATATTTTTCTGTAAGAATTTTATTTATTTGTTAATTTTTTATAAGAATTTTAAAGCTGTAAATTTCTCTCTAACGACATCCCAGAAATTTTATTTTATTTTTTTCATTATTCAGTTAAAAGTATTTTATAATTTTCCTTAGGATATCCTCTGTGACAAATCAGTTATTCCTAATCGTGTTGTTTAATTTGCCAAATTGTAGAATCAGGGAGATTTCTTAGATATCTTATTGTTTAGATTTCTAATTTAGTTGTGATATAGAAGATACTCAGTATAATTTCAGTCCCTTTAAATGTGTCTTGATTAGGGCTCAGCAGGTGGTCTCTGTGGGTAAATACCCTTGAATCTGTCTTCCGCACTTGTTGGGGTGATATTCCGTATTAGGTTAAGCTAGTTGACTGTGGTGTTTAGGTTATCTGTGTCTTTCCAGATTTTTAATTGACTGAATGAAGTTAATTAATGGTATACTTCTTTTATGAGTTGCTGAATCCAGCTGTGATTGTGGAATCACCTACTTCACTCTCTGTTTCTATCAGATTTTTGCTTCCTGTTTTTTGAAGCTTTACTCATAGGAACTTACATGTTTATAATCTGTCTTTCTGCTCACTTCACCCTTTCGTCATTATGATGTGTTCCTCTTCATCTCCGGTAATATTTTTGCTTGGAAGTTTGTTTCATCAGCTGTGAACGTAGCTCCTCCACCCTTCTCATGCTTACTACCCTCCCGATGTACCCTTT